ACACACAACCAAACCCACAGGGCCACAGCCACACTGTCAACGTAGTCACCTGTGAAAGAGGCAGGTGATGCCAGAAGATGATTGATTGGCGTAGAAGCAGTGGTTACATCCTGGAACGTCTGGCAAACATGCGAGTAACTTGTTAGACAATAGTAGACGACAGAGCCGGAGGGGGGCTGGAAGTAGCTTGTGATACATTTAGTGCGCTGCTTTTGAGACAATGCAGTTTCTTGCAGGTTGGCTGTAGAAAGTTAACAATGTGTGCTGAAACACCCAGTTAACGACCAGATGGAGAGAAAGAAGAATAGGAAAAACCGAAGCGCCAGCAAGGGTAGAAGGACGAAGTTCGTCCTGTTGAAGGACAGGCAGCAGAGGAAGGGGGGCCGGGGCCCCTGGAAAAGAGGCTGCAGGAGAACCCAGCCCGGCGGCCGTGGCGCCTGTGGCCAAACGCCTCCGCCCAATCCCAGAGACTGGTGGAGAGGTCAAGGACAGGAGGAACTGAGAAGCCCACTGGGAGGAACGCGAGTGGGGGAGGCTGGAGGTCAGGGCTGGGGAAAGACTCCGGCACTGGAGCGAGGCGGGACGCAGCCGGCTGGCCAGCGGGGATGTGGCCACCCCAGTGTCTGCACAGCCGAGCTCCAGGGTACACGGACGGCTGAGGGAACTGCCCAGGGCAGCCAGAGCCGCGAGCGCGCCCCTTTTGGGGGCTACTGGTGCCGGGCCCGGGGTGGAGGGGGGTTCCCGGCTCTGGCTCCCGATTCCAGGTTCCCGGGGGGCGGCGGCCACGGCTCAGGTTGTTGGTTCCCAGCTACCCGCGTGGGCCTGGTTGAGTTCCGGCTCCTGGTTTCGGTTCTCACTGTGGTGGTTCTCCATGGAAACAGCACTCTCTGTCATTTATATCCCCCCACCCTGCCGCCTCTAAAGCCAGTAAATAAAAGTTGTAAAGAATCCGTGAGCGTCAGAGCTGGGCAGTGCTGCTGAACACCCCCACTGATGTCTGTAGAACAGCACCGCCCAGGGAGGAGCACACGGGGCCGGCACCTTGGCACAGCCTGCATCCCGTATGGGCACCGGTTCGAGTCCTGGCTGCTCCACTCCCGATCCAGCTCTCTGCTGTGGCCTGGGAAAGCAGGAGAGGATGGCCCAGGTCCTTGAGCCCCCGCGCCTGCGTGGGAGACCCGGAAGAAGCTCCTGGCTCCTGGCTGGATTGGCGCAGCTCCGGCCATTGTGATTGTTCTCGAATAAAATAAATCTTAAAAAAAGAAGAAGAAAAGTCCCCAAACCCCGGCGTGAGCATCAGCCCTCAGAAGCGAGAACAGGTCGGAGGAGGTGACGGCGACTGGGAGCTCAGGGAGCCGACGGAGCAGCGCGGCCGCCGTGCTCTGGGACTGAGCCCGGCTCCTCAGGAGCAGCGGGGCGCCGGGACTGCCGCCGGTCGCGCAGAGCAGCGTGGTGGCCGCCGCGAGTCCCGTGGCTGCTTTCCCTCAGCTCGGCGTAGAAATAAGAAGCCGGCAACCTTTGATTCGACAGAAAAGAGACTCTGATGGGCAGGGGACAGGAAAGCGTGTGGTGGAGAGGAGAGCAGGGAGTGCCGAGAAGGACGCTGGCCTTGAGGCAGGACGTTGGGTCATTCTGGGGGGTGGGTGCCCGTGGGACAGGAGTGGGGCTCACATGCCTATGTTGATTGGCTCGGGGCTCATGGAGGTAGCGGGGGTCTCCTGGAGAGGGCTCAGCCCCCTCCTCTGCCAGCTCTGGGTGACAGATCTAAACCACAAGGTCACCCAGGCAGCCAGGTCTCCTGGAGCCGCTCCGACCCCCCCCCCCCCCAGGATGCGGCCCCTTCCCCTGCCGGCTCTGGGTGGGAGACTGCCCCCACCTGGAGGTGAGATCTAAAGCCGCAAGGTCGCCCAGGCAGCGCGAGAAGCTGTTAGTGGGGGAGACACTTTCCCGTCACAGCTGGCGGCCTGCTTGTGGAGACATTGCACCTGCGTCCGAGGGGCCCCCAGACCCAGCCCCACTGGATGGCCTCAGCGGCCCCTCCCCAGCCACTAGCCCCTGTGGGGTGCTGCAGAGGAATGGGGGTCCTGGAGTGGCCATGCGGGGGCCCCTCATGCCGGCCGGGTGTGCCAGGCTGTGCAGAGCAGCCGAGCCCCCTCTCAGAACAGAGCCCCCCTGGAAAGACCCTCTGTCTGCAGACGGAGACAGAAGAGTGTCCTGGCCTTGGGCTTTGGCAGGGGTGGGGGGAGGACACCTCCTTCAGGGACACCAGGGAATGAGGGGCAGGGCTGGGTGGCCCTGTGACGTCAGGGTGCCCCACCCCCCCTTGCAGCCCAAGCCTGGGGCTGCTGCCTTGGGTGGGTCCTCCATGGGGTGGGGTCCCACGGGTCTAAAATGTTCAAGGGGCTGCCCGCTAGGATCATGGGGCGGCCGCCAGGGGCTGGGGACAGGGACACTCAGAGGCCGAGGGTGGGCCAGAGCTGGGCTGTGTGACAGTCACCGAACATCAGAACCAGGCCAGAGTCGCTTGTGTCAAAACTAGGGAAGCGACCTAAGTTGTCCCTAAGCAGTGGGTTCTCACGCTGACAGTGGCCATCAGGACATTGGCAGGCCGGTCCTGGCCCGGGGTGTGGCCATCACTAAAGCAGCAGGCCATGCCCTCACCTGGGGGTGTGGCCATCAGGAGAGTGGCAGGCCACACCCTCTCCCAGGGGTGTGGCCATCAGGAGAGTGGCAGGCCACGCCCTCTCCCAGGGGTGTGGCCAACAGGAGAGTGGCAGGCCACGCCCTCTCTCAGGGGTGTGGCCATCAAGAGAGTGGCAGGCCACGCCCTCTCCCAGGAGTGTGGCCATTAAGAGAGTGGCAGGCCATTCCCTCACCCAGGGGCGTGGCCGTCACTGGACTGGCAGGCCCTCCCTGGCCTGGGGGTGTGGCCATCAGGAGAGTGGCAGGCCACGCCCTCACCCAGGGGCGTGGCCGTCACTGGACGGGCAGGCCATGTCCCGCCAGGAGGCCACTGCACCCTGAGATTGAGAGCACCGCTGTGTGGACTGGACGCAGCCGTGGTCTGGCGGCCTCGTGCTGACGTCAGCCTGGTTGCTGGTCCCTGGGGCCCAGGGCTGCTGGTTCAGTGTCTGAGGTCATCCTTCTAATTGTTGCCCTTAAAGCTGAACCTGCCTCCTTGGATGCGCCGGTTTCCTCCAGTCTACTCCAGTTTGCTCCGGCCGCGCGTTGCCACGGCAGCGCTCTGCTGTCCCCGACCATTCGGCGTTCTCGCCGGGAGGACTGCTGCCCTCGGACCTTCCTGCTGCTTAGGTTGCTGCCTGGGGACGGGGACCGTCCCTGGCATGGCCTGGGCTCCCTGAGCCGAGCCGCGGGCTCCCTCCTGCCCACTCGGTGCCTCACGTAGCCCTCGTCCGGTCTCGGCCTGGAGAAGCCCTGGGCCCATCACACAGGCTCTGTCGGCCTGGAGCCTGGTGGCCCAACCCAGCTTCCTGACGCGGGACGGGCACGCAGCGTCCTCCTTCTGCAGGCTGGGCGGGGCCGTCGCCCTCCTGTGGAAACGGGGAAGCGAGACCTCGCCAGCGGTGTTCGCGGATCAGGGCAGGTGCAGGCCTAGGCGCCACCCGCAGGCCCCTCCCCCGGCTCCTCGCCCAAGTCGCCCCACCTCCCCTCCCCCTCTAAGCGTCGTCTGCTCCCTCCTGCACGCCTGCCCCTCCCTAACTTCCTCCCTGCCCTGGAGCTGCCTGAACTTTGTGGTTGTTATCTGCAAGCTGCTTGTATGAGCTGGTTACAGCCGGTTGCCAGTAACTTTCCACTCAGCATTTTGCACTGAAGATGGGCCAGCAGATGTTTCCTTACAGCCCCCCCCCCCCAGGTGGCTGCTCCTCTCCCCCACCTGGATCCCCGCACCAACCATGGGATAGGCAGGGCCACTCCCATGCTCCCGGTCCGGGCACCCCGCTCTGCTCTTCCAACCCCCACTCCCAGGTCCAGGCTGGCTGCCCCAGCGGGGAAAGGTGGCCAGCGCTGGGCTGAGCGGCCTTAGCCAGGGAGTTGTCTCCCAGTGACTAGCTCTCGGTGGCCGCCAGGGGGCGCGCTGGCCCCAGACCCGGTTGTGGGAATGTTCCGGGCGCAGAGGACTCTGGACAGTGGACAGTGGGAAGAGAGGGGCAGCCTACTGGGGGCTGGAGGCGGGACTCCGGACAGTGGACAGTGGGAAGAGAGCTGCAGCCTAGTGGGAGCTGGAGGCGGGAGGCTGTCTGGCTCAGCATGGCCTGGTCAGGACGAGGATCCACCCGGCCAGACCTGGGGAGGCCAGGCTCACCCCGACCAAGTGCTAGCCCGGGGCAGGGCCTCCCCAAGTCTCCCTGTTCATCTAGGGCTGTGTCGGCCCGGAGGCCGCACTCCGGAAGCTGAGCCTCCCGCCGGCGGCTGCTCCCTCCACTCCCGCTGGGGGCGCAGATGCTGCTGCCATCCCAGGGCCTCCCAGGCCAGACCCTCGCTGCTGAGCCCCTGAGGCCAGAACCGGTGCAGGCGGCAGACGGAGCGGGACCGGCAGCAAGACGGAGCTGTGCGGGGGCTGCTTGCCTGGGCCCGGGCTGGGCGCCTCCTCCGTCACCCGCCCTCCCAGCTCCCGCGGAGCCAGGGCCCAGAGGCTGGGCCTCCCAGCACCCTCAGTCATGCCCCGCCCCAGCGCCTCCCAGTGAGCTCCGGCCCCGTGGGTGGCCTCTGCTGGCTGCTGGGCTTGCTGTGGGCAGCTGCGGGGGCCCCTCTGCAGGCGATCGGACAAGGGTCTCGGGGCTGCGGCTGGAGGGGCTCCTCGCTGCCCAGTGCTCCCACGCCAGCCTCAGCCACGAGCACCGCCAGCTCCGCCCCGGCAGGGTCCTGGCTCCTCCGACAGCGGCCGCGCTCTGCCAGGACTGGCCCAGACGCTCAAGGCTTAGGGGGTCCTATAGGGCCGAGAACCCCCTCCTCCCCAGAACAGCACAGACACAACCACACCGGTTTAACATCATTTATTTCCGTGAAGTTTCAAGTAGAAAAAATAAAGAGAAACCTAACAGGATGACTGGGTCCCCCACTCTCCAGGCGGCTGGGGGTGGGGGTGGGGCGGGGGCTGCCTCCTCTTGTCCCGGGGCAGGGGCTGCTCTCCAGGTCCTGGTCCCAGAGTCCTGGGGTCTTCCAGGGGAGGGCGGCCAGCACCCACTCACGGTGACGGAGGGGGCTGTGGACACCCCGGGAAAGGGGGGAGGGGGCTGGGTCACAGGTTGGGGGCCCAGAGCAGGGCGAGGAGGCCGAGGGCCAGTGCGGGGCCGAGGAGGGCGCTGCCATGCCAGGCACGGCCGGGCGCGGCACTGTTCAGCCTCTCGTTGCACAGGTCGCCCTGGCAGCAGTAGGTGGCCGTGGTGCCGCTGCTGACCTGGCCCTGCATGGTGTGCGAGGCGGTGCAGGACTCCACGCAGTCCTTGGTCACCAGGTTCCCTGACAGCGGCTCCACTGCACAGAGCGGGGACGGTCAGGCACCGAGCTCACGGCCACGGCAGCCCCTCCCACCGCCGCCCGCCCGCCCGCCCGCCTCACCTCTGGTCATGGTTCTGCAGTAGCGGGCGCTGCTGGAGCAGGGCTGGGGCTGCTTGCAGTTGGTGGTGCTGGAACACACGTGGCAGCGCAGGGCCAGAGCTGGCGGGAAGGGTGGGGTCTCAGCTGGGGCTGTGCCCACCGCCCACGGAGCCCCTTCAGGACAGAACCCCCGGCCGCCCCGCCTGCGCCAGTCCCTCCTGTCCCGTGCTCAGCCCCGGGAGCCATCCTGGAGGCAGTGTCCTGAGCTGGGGTAACTGCAGGTGTCTTGGAGACCCTTCCCCGGGGAGCCTCGGGACACCTCCTGTCCCCAGGCCGGCGGCCGTGTCCTCCGAGCCTCCGATTCCCTGGTCGCCCCTGAGACTCTCAGGCTGCCGCACCCAGGGAAGACGCAGGGCCACGGGGCCGCACTTGGAATTGTCTGGCAGAGTCCGGATTCTCGGAGTCTGAACGTCAGCAGCCAGGCTTCTGGTGCTTAGCAACTGCCGGCCGCCCCCAGCCTGCCTGGGCCCCGGGGGCCCCCGCGCTGCCAAAGCCGCCCACCCGGCCCGGGCCCAGCCCCTCACCTGGCGCCGTGGCCACGGCCAGGGCGACAAGGAGCAGCAGGACTGTCTTCATGCCGGGTGCTGTGTGGGAGCAGTGGGGCCCCTCCTCTCCGGAGACCTTATATAGCAGGGCCCTGCCGTGGGAGGGGCTGCTGGCGTCAGCCTGCACCCACGAGCCCAGCTCACACCTGGCCTGGCCACCCGGGGGCCTTCTGTCCCAGCGGCCTCCCAGGGGCCTGCCCTTCCGCCAGTTGTGGACAGAGGCCTGGCTGCCCGGGCCCTGCAGCTGTGTGCTGCTGTCTCCATCTTTCCCCAGGCTGTCCCTGGCCCCCCACCCCACCCCGGCTGCTGCCCTGTGCCGGAAGCTGCTGCTGGGGGTGGAGGTAGGACCCGCAAGGACCTGGCTCTGCCCCTGCCCTGTTGGGCCTGGCGGACAGCGAGCTCAGGATCAGATCAGAGAGAGACCGGGGGTCCCTGCCGCCCAACCACCTGCACCCAAGGGGATGAGGACGGGCAGGGTGGGGCCCATGGAGGACAGTGGCCTGTGCCGGCCCAACGCTCCAGGGAGCCCTGTGGACTCCAGGGCTGGTCAGACCCGGGCTCCAGACCCCCAGCCCTCCCTTGTACCCTGTCCTGGGCGAGCCAGCACCTGTGCCGGGCTCCCTTGCCAAGCGGGGTAAAGTTAACAGCCCCGGGCTCTCCCTGAAGCAGCTGCCAGGCCAGCGCTGGTGGTGCCTTCTGGGACCCGTGAGGGCTATGGGCAGAAGCCCCCGGGGCAGCTCAGCCTGAGAGCCAGAGGCACCCTCAGCTCCAGCCCCAGGCCTGCCTGGCACAGGGGAGGGTGATTCTGGGACCCCTGGGAAGCAGAGTGTGGGCGGGTGGCAGCGGGGTTTAGAGGGAGGTGGCAGCTGCGGGTGACTCACTGGGGCCAGGGCCATGGGAGCCGCTGGAAAAGCGGGTTTGGAATTCCTGCCGGGCCCAGTGGCGCCCGAGGGTCCGGGGTGCTGAGTAGACTGGGAGTGGAGGTCTGGGCGTGGGGCCTGGTGGGGGAGGGGCCCCGGCGTCCCCCTGGCCGTGGAGGCTGCGCCAGGTGCGGAGCTGAGGGCAGCTGGGTTCCGGTGGGGTCCGGGGCAGCTGCCCACAAGGCCTTGCGCTGTCTGTCCCCGGCAGGTTCCCAGCCGGTGCGTGAACCACGGCTCCGCTGTAGGAGGAAGTGGGAGATTCAAGGGCAGGGATCGGCGGGGCTCCTGGGTAGTTCAGTCAGGGAGGGCTGGGGTTCGAGGCCGGCTCTGCCCGTCCGTGTGCGGCTCCTCGTCCGGCTTGGCCCTTTCTTTCTTGCTGTGCCGGGGGCCAAGTCCAGGGAGCAGTGGTGGAGGGAGCAGGCCGGCCTTTCCTGGGGTGCAGCCTGTTCTCGGGGTGCTGGGCTGACACCGGGGGTCCTGCGAGACAGAACAGTTCTTCGGCCTGGCTGGGGGTGGCTGCAGGCGCGGCTGCCCCTTTCCTGGGACCGGGGGCCCTGCGCTGTTGAGTCCTGTCTCGCTCCCTGGAGGACGACAGCTAAACTATGCGGTATCATCACAAGGGGTGCGGGTTAGGGGTCCGAGGAGGTGACTGGGGGCTGGGGCACCCCTGGGGCTTCAGGATGGGGCTGGGGACCTTAGAAGCCACAGGCAGGGCTCGGGGGCTGGGACGTCTAGCCCCGCCCCCCCGTCCCAGGTGGAGGTGGTCACCAAGGACATGGCTCACGCGTGTGCAATGAGGCCTCCGTGGAAACCTGTAAGGACAGCATTCCTGGGGGCCTGAGGGTGCTGCTGGGGGAGGGGTGGAGACTCCCACTGCCCCTGCCACGTGCGTCCCTCGGGGCACACCTGCCACCTGCCTGCATAAACCTGAACAGAATCCTTCTCTGAGCTCCGGGAGCCGCCCTTCACGTCACGGGACTCCGGGAAGAGGGCGCGGGAACCGGGTTTCCAGCCCGTCAGGCTAAGTGCAGGCAGAGCGGCGGGGTGGTGACTGGCGGGGTGAGGACAGAGCCCTTGGCCCCTGGGCTCTGACACGACGCCGGGCAGATGGTGCCATGAGCGGCCGTAGTCAGGGGACGCCCAGCCGGCGCCCGCGGCCCAGAGTTGGTACCTGCTCCGTGTGTGGCGGGGGTGTCGGAACCGGGAACCTCACCGCTCCGCGCGCCCTTGTGAGGTGCAGGCCCCCGGGGGACCGGGCAAGTGTGCCCGGGGCCAGTCGCCCTCCTGTGACGGGGTGGAGAGAGCCTGCAGGGGTGGGCCGGGGGGCCCTGGGAGCCCAGCACAATGACCTGGCGAGCCCGGGAAAGCAGGCTCTGGGCAGCGTGGGCCCTGGACTGGCAGAGCCCAGAGCGCCCGAGGGAGAGCCTCCGACCCTGGAGGAGGGCAAAGTGCACTTCCTGCTCCTGCCCCCACCCCGCCCCCATGCTGGGCCCCCACCCACTGAGGCCTGAGGCTGCGGCTGCCAACCGCTGAGCTCTGTGGGGGTGGGGCACAGACAGGGGCTACTCCACTTTCTCCCTCACTCCCCCGCCTTCTCCTCCCCAGCACGCATCATTCATCCGTCACCCACCCATCTGTCCATCACTCAGCCATCACCCACCCACCTACCAGTCTATCCATCCATCCATCAACCACCCACCCGCCCGTCCATCCACTAGTCTACTGCGTGTCTGCCCCCGCATCCCACATCCGTCCGGCTGGCTTACTTGCAGGAGCACAGAGGAGAGAAGCCAACTCGCAGCCTCACGGAGCTCCCTCTCCACGGCACGGACAGGGCCGCTGAGACAGGTAGCTCAGGGCAGGGGATGGAGCGAGGGGGAGCTGGGCCAGTGGACGTGACCCGAGAAGGGGGCCAGGTGGTCAGAGGGGGAGACGTGGGTGAATTGGGCACTGCTGCACGGGTGATGCTCAGTGACTCCAACAGGCCCTGTGGTGGGAGGGGCTGTTTTCCACCCGCTCCCCTGCCTGGGGGCGGCACCTTTGTCTTCTTTCTCCCCTGGGACCCTCCCCTTGCCCAGGGACCCCTTCCCTGGGGGTCATACAGAGCGGCTTCCTGGTGGAGGTCCCGGCAGGAGTGTGGGCCAGGTGACCACAGCCCTTGCCGGGCAGGTGCTGCCTGGTGGCCGGTGGTGCCCCTGACCCCTGACCCCCCTGGGCCCTGTGCCAGCTCTGTCGGCACTGGCGGACAGCTGCCTGGGTGACCCTCTCCCCTCTCTCATTTACACATACACCCTGCCCCTGACTGAGTTGAGCTGGGGGCTCCAGCCCCCCGGGATCTTCTAGCAGTCGGTGGCTGCTCTGGGACTTGGGACACCCAGTCTGTGGGAGTGGGAGGGGACTTTGGGGGGCATCACTCATCCTCAAGAGGAAAAGAGACATCTCATCACACTGGGCGCCCTGCTGGCCGTCAGAGCAGGTGCGCCAACCTCACGTGCACAGCCCGGCGGCCCCAGGGGACCCTGCCGTGGTGCTCAGTGCTGGGTAGACACTGCATTGCTTTCCTCCCTGTGCGTGGGGCTGGGCTTGAGCTGGGCGTGGCCAGGGAGCTGCTTACCGCAGTCCTGAGAGCTTAAGGGATCATGGGGTGTGCCGCCCAGCGTGATCTCCCTCACCCAAGAAGGTGGAGTGGGTGGGTCCCTGGGGGTAGGAGATGCAGGCTGGGGGGACCATGGAGGCCCAGGAGCCTTGGTGCTGTGCCCAGGACAGAGGAGCAGCCTGACCGTGAACCCAGGTCAGGCGGGGCTGACCCCAGAGAGCCCCTCCTGCACCCCTGGCCATGACCCGGCGGCAGGCCGCCTGTTCTGCTGCACCTCACATCTCAGCCCCAGCTCTCCTGCCTGCTGGCTGCCTCCTCTGCCTCCCCAGACCCATGCACGGCCTCACTCCCACCTCCACCCTCAGACACCTCCTGGGCCTAGAAGCAGGAGCAGGGGGACCCAGGGAGGCTGTGCTGCACCCTCCCAGGCCTTGGGTCCCCTTCAGCCTGTGCCCTGGCCCCCGACCCCCTGACTGCCTCTGTCACCACAGGGCTGCTCCACCCTGAACCCGGCCCACCTCAGGAGAGGAGGGGAGGGGAGGGGAGAGGTGGGGAAGGGATGGGAGAGGAGGGGAGGGGAGTGGGGGGAGGGAGGAGGGGATGGAAAAAGAGGGGGGCAGAGGAGAGGAGGGGAGGAGAGGGAAGAAGGGGAGGGAAGGAGAGGAGGGGAGGGGAGAGAAAGGGAGGGGAGGGAGGAGAGAGGAGGTGAGGGGAATGGGAGAGAGAGAAAAGGAGGGGAGAGGAGGGGAGGGGGGAGAGGAAAGGAGGGGAGGGAAGAGAGGAGAGGAGGGGAGGGAAGAGAGGAGGGGAAGGGAGGGAGGAGAGAAGGGGAGGGGAGGGGAGAGAGAGGAGGGAAGAAGAGGGGAGAGGAGAGGAGGGAAGAACAAGAGAGAGGAGAGGGGAAGGGGAGGGGAGAGGAGAGGAGAGGGGAGGAGAGGAGGGAAGAACAGGGGAGAGGAGAGGAGAGGAGGCACTGCAGACACCGCCTGCTCCGTCACGGCCACGCTCCCCGTCTGCGCAGCCCGCTCTGGGCTCCCGCTGGCCTCCCGCTGGCCTGCAAGCCCTTCCCTACCTGGGCATCTGCACGCACCTGTGCCCCCTGCCGGGGACCCTGCCGCCTCCCGTCAGCCAGACCTCCCTCCCGCACTGCCCTGAGCCCTGGCCCGGGCTCCCCAGGGGCGTCGGCACCTGGAGGTGGCCATCTCTCCCGCAGGGGCCTGGTGTGCAGGGAGCACTCTCCGGGTGGGTGCTGGTTTAATGACTGTGGGACAGCCATGGGGGAGTGGGGACGGCAGGCCTGGCGGGGGCCCCTCTCCGTGGGATCGGTCTCCTGGCTCCGCGCACAGAGGCTCCGAGGAGGAGTGACACACCACAGGGTGAGGCCCGGGCAGCTCTGCAGAGACAGGATTCTCGCCTTCTTGCCTCCCTCCCGAGCCCGCCCCCCCCCCCGCCCCCTGCTGGCAGCCCGGGCACTTGCTCAGCTCCCCTGCATCCGCCTCCTCCGCTGTGGTTCTCCGAAGGCTCCAGGCAGCAGGCGCTCCTCTGGCCCAGGCCCTCTGCTCCCTTGCGTGGGGCACGCAGGGTCGGGGCCCTGTGAGGCTGTGGAGGGGGGGGCACGCAGGGGAGGAGCCCGGGGCTGCTGGGCAGGACTGCGCCACTGCTGGAGGCTGCTGATCGGAACAGAAGGGCAGCGGCCATCCAGGGGGCTCCTGGTAGTGCCCGGGCTGCGCGCGCAGCTTGGCCAGGAGGCCGGGAAGCTGCTGCTGCTCCCTGGCCAGCTGGGGAAGACACGAGGGGTGAGGAACTGGCCCACAGGAGGGCTCCCAGCTTCAGAGGGGCGGGGGCAGGGCAAGGCTCAAGGTCAGACCCGCGGACTGGGGCAGACAGGAGCCATGGAGGGCGCTGGACCGCAGGGCCCAGGTAGGGGCGGGGAGAAAATTTTGGAGTTGGGAGGCTCTGGCCTCGCCCCAGGAAGAAACCTGGGTGGACACTCGGTCCTGGGGGGCCCACAGCCCTGGTGCTGTCCAGAGGGCAGGAGGAGCCCCGCCCCCGACCAGACTTCAGGAGCCAAGGCTGGGGCCACGCGGGATGTGGGCATCTCAGGGACAGCATGGATGGGGACACCTTCCAGGGCCCCTGTGTGCATCCCCACCTGGAGCTGACGGGGAGGGGGCAGGGGAGGCGGGGGATGCCCAGGGAGCGAGGCAAGGGCGTGGCCCCCACCCCTGAGCTGGCACACGGAGAACCTCCCCCCCAGCCACCTGGGAGTGACATCTTGGAGAGTGAGACCCTCACAGACCATACAGTTTTATTCTCACGACAGAGGAAGCACTGGCCGACGGCGCGGCTGGGGGAGGGAGGATGGCGGTCACGCCCCAGGTGACCCAGCCCTTCAACTCCAAGGTGACCCAGCCCCCACCCCGGGAGCCGGGGGATCTTTAGGCAGGCTGCCTTTGTCCAGACGGGCGCCGGGGTTCTGGGCAGCAGACGGAGCCTCTGGGAAGTCCCGGGAGGCAGGCCTGTTAGGGGTCAGTGTAGTGCTGGCCGGTGGCACCCAGGAGAGAATGAGGGCATTAGCGAGAAGTGTGCCTGGGTGGGTGTGTGGGTGGGTGGGTACATCAGTGGATAGGTGGGCACGTGGGCGTGTGCATGGGTGGTGTGTGGGCGTGTGGATGGCTGGGTGGGTGGCTGGGTGGGTGCGTGGTTGGGTGGCTGGGTGGGTGGCTGGGTGGGTGCGTGGTTGGGTGGCTGGGTGGATGCTGGGTGGATGCTGGATGGGTGGCTGGGTGGATGCTGGGTGGGTGCGTGGGTGGATGGCTGGGTGGGTGGCTGGGTGGGTGCGTGGGTAGATGGCTGGGTGGGTGCGTGGGTGGATGGCTGGGTGGGTGCGTGGGTGGATGGCTGGGTGGGTGCGTGGGTGGCTGGGTGGGTGGCTGGATGGATGCTGGGTGGGTGCTGGGTGGGTACGTGGGGTGACAGCAGGGTGCCTGGAGAATGCATAGAGAACTGAAGGGACCCCAAGCTCGCAGTCCTGTTCTCCCTGCTGCTGTGTTCACAGGAGGTGGTCCAAGGGGCCATGGAGGGGGGGTCTGGCCGGGAAGGGCCTGAGGGGGCAGGAGCCCCCAGCCCCGCCTCCCACTTCCTCAAATGACAGCGGAGGATGCTGGAGGGCTGGAGAACTCTCTCTGTGCCTGGGTAGCCGGGCGCCCCCGGGAACCGACCAGGGTGCTGAGGGTCTCGCGGCGGGTGGGGCTGGGGGAGGTGTCCCTCCCTGGGCACGAGCCCTGGAGGGCTGTGGTCCTCATCTCTCTGCAGCACAGGGGAGGGGGAGGGGCAGCCAGGGCAGGGATGCGGGAGCCACCCAGGTGAGGAGAGGCCCAGGGCGGGGCCTCACCAGGCGGCCTGGAGCAGCAGCCACAGCAGGCCGGCGGAGGCGCTGGCCCACAGGGCCCCGGGGCCGGCGGCCAGGCCCGAGGCTGCGTTGCGGTTGCACTGGCTGCTCTGGCAGCAGGTGACGGAGAGGGCGCGGCCGTCGGGGGACACGGTGCTGTTGGGGCAGGTCGGGGCGCAGGACTTCATAACCAGCATGCCGCCCGGGTTGGCTGTGGAGAGAGGGGAGTGTCCACGGCTGCCCAGCGTAGGGCACGCGAGGCCCCGAGGCTCCCAGCACCCCCGGCCTTCGGGGGCCCTGCGGCCTGGGCACCGCCCACTTTGGTGCTGGGGTGGCTCGGGGTGTCCCTTGGGTGGAGTCCTCCCCGCCAGGCCAGGCGCTCCTGTGAGACTGACTCCATGGCTCGCCCCGCCCCGTCCCCGGCCCGAGATGTCGGGAATTCTCCTCCTCTGCTTGGAGCTTCAGCCACCAGGGAGGGGTGAGGCCTCGCCCCTCGCCCCTCGCCCCTCGCCCTTCGCCCCTCGCCCCTCGCCCTTCGCCCCTCGCCCCTCGCCCCTTCTGGGACGGGAAAGCTGAGCGTGGCAGAACCTGGCGCCTGCCTGCACAGTGCCTTTGGAAGCTCAGGTCTCATGGGGGAAGTGGAGGCAGGGCCTTGCCAGGGCCCTGGGGCCCTGGGCGGGGGCTGGGGGTGGCTGAGCCGGTTGGAGGAGTCTCAGGCTGCACCACCCACCGCCACCACCGTCTACACCCGCAAAGTGCCAGCTGCGGGGGGCCTGGGAGCCAGGGGCCTTCGGTAAGGGGAGTGGGTTCCTTAACCTGCACTTGTTCAGGACTCAGAACATTCTGGAAGCTGTAACCCTGCACCAAAGGCTGGACACTGTGGGGTGAGGACGAGGGGCCTCGTCTCTTTGCGTCTCAGCTGGGAAACGCAGGGGCAACAGGAGCAGCTGCGCTGGGGCCAGTGAGTGAGCGAGCACTGCAGGGGCCCGGCCGCGCTGGCCCCGTGCCGCCCGGGCCGGCTGCGGGCGGAGTGAGCAGAGGGCTCAGCACCTGGTGCTGAGAGCTGGGGCCTGAGAAAGCAGGGGCGCAGAGCCACTCCTAGACGTGAGAGAGAGTGAGAGGCGGCAGGAAATCCTGCCGACAGGCCGCAGGCCAGGGCTGAATCAGCCGCCCAGGGACGCACCCCGCTACTGTGGATGCGCCCGCCTCAGCCCGCAGGCGGTGCCGGGACAGCGAGCCCTGGCGTCTCTCCCAGCCCCAAACCCTCCAGTGCAGTGGGTGTCTGGAAGGGTTCGCTGGCTGTTCTTGCGGACGAGGAGCTGTGTTTTGCGGAGGCAGTGCAGTGGAGGCAGTGTTTGCCCACCGGTTTCTGAGCCACTTCCAGGAGGCGTGGGATAGGCGTGGCCACCCGTGCAAGAGACCCTGGCTCAGGCCAGAGCTCAAGCCCCTGCCTCACTGCGTGCAGCTCCCAGCTGCGGTTTGCTGGCCGGGGCACTGGGACGGTAGGCTGCGGCCACTGCAGGGTCACCAGCAGGGACCGTGGGTACCACAGCCTTATCCCTCCCTTCCCCGCCCAGGACTGCTGTCGGGGCCAGGAGGCACCTGCCGTGGCTGGCCGTCCAGAAGGCCCCACCCGCCCGCTGCTCCCTCGAGAGACCCTGGGCTGAGCTGGGGGAGGGGAGCCAGCGCGGGAAGGCACAGGGTGAGGGGCAGATGCTGGAGCAGCCCCAGCCCTGCTGGGATTTGTGGGTGGGACCCCTGTGGTCGCACAGGGAGGCTGCCCCCGTGGCCCAGCCCGGAGCAGGAAGCCTAGAAGACGCAGCCCCGGAGGATGACCTCATTGGGCTCACAGGGCCGGAGCCCCCCAGTCACCATCCCAACATGGCGGAGCCCCTTCCTGCCCCCCACTGCCCATGCCTCCTTCCTTTGCTGGGGGCTGCTCTGCTCTGGGTCCCACCTTCCTGGCCGGGGCAGAGCATGAGGCCGGCCTGCCCAGATGGCCACACACAGGCCGCTCCCTCCTCCCTGCTCCTCTGAGCTGCAGGGCCAGGCTGGGGGTGGGGCGGGGTACTCACTGGCCCGCGTGATCAGGCAGTACTTGTCGGTCACGGCACACTCCACTAGAGACTCGCAGTTCTCGTGGCCACAGCACACGTGGCAGTGCAGGGCCCGGGCTGGGGGGAAGCACAGGCCCGTCAGTCCGGGCTGGGCCTGGGGCCAAGCGCCAGCTGCGGCTGCGTGGCCAGCCCGGTGCTGCCCTCCTGCGCCGCCCCCACCTCCGTCCTCCCTCCCGCCATCCTGTCCCGGGAGGGTGCTGAGGGGCTGGGGGCTCTGCCGTGGTGGGGACGCTCCCTGTGTGTGTGAGTGCCGGGCCGGGAGCACAGGCCGCAGGTGCACAGCGTGAAGCCTGCAGGCTGCCCCACCCCCGGGGCCCGGCCGAGCCAGGCTCTGCCTCCCTGTCACCCCCTGCTGCTGGATAGGAGTACAGCCATGGCAGCAGGACTTGGCCTGGGCTGGGTGGGGAAGAGGACTTGGCCTGGGCAGGGGGCTTAAGGGCTGTTGGGGCAGAGGGCTCTGCCCTCTGTCACCTGAGGCCTGCTGCTGACCCCACCCCAGGTCCCGTGGGGAGCTGAAGCGAGCGGCCCTGGTAGGGCTGGGGCAGGGGCTGAGACGGGGCGCGCTGGGCCAAGACTGGGGTGCTGCTGCCCAACGCCCAGCGGGGTGACCGCAGCGGCAGGGAGCAGATGTGACACGGCTGGGGGGGCCTGGGTGGGTTCCCCCGAGGAGGTGGCCCTGGAGCTGGCCTGGAGGGAGGCTTTCCCACTGGCTGTCTGGACTGACCCCCGAGCCCGGCCCACGCAAGGCCAGCTTGCCCAGGCAGGAGCGGCCAGGAGCTGAGAGGAGGCTGCTGGGTGGAGACATCGGGGACAGCAAGTGTGTGCAGGGGGCTGGGGGGCGCCCTGGGGGTACGGGGGTCCTGGAGGTTCCTGTGCAGTCTCTGTGGGGGTACTGTGGGGGGATTTCCTGTGGGGTTTCTTTGGGGGGATTTCCTGTGGGGTCTCTGTGGGGGTCCTGTGGGGGGATTTCCTGTGGTGTCTCTGTGGGATCTCTGTGGCTTCCTGTGGGGATTCCTGTGAGGGGGTCCTGTGGGGGTCCTGTAGGGATTCCTGTGAGGGGGTCTTGTGGGGGTCCTGTAGGTTCCTGTGGGGATTCCTGGAGGGGGTCTCTGTGGGGGGTCCTGTGGGGTCTCTGGGTTCCTGTGGGGTCCCTGTGGGGTGTCCTATGGGGTCTCTGTGGGGTGTCCTATGGGGTCTCTGTGGGGTTCCTATGGGATCTCTGTGAGGTCTCTGTGGGTTCCTGTGAGGGGGTCCTGTGGGGTCTCTGTGGGGGTCCTGTGAGGGGGTCCTGTAGTGAGTGTCCAGGACAAGGCGTCCTTGCTCTGAGCCCAGGGCTAGTGCCCCTCCCTAGAGTGAGGGGTGCTTGGAGCTGACAGGGGACAGAGGGTCCCCTCATACCTCCTAGCATGCGCTCCCCCCGCCTGAAGACCCCACCTCCCAGAACCACCACAGTAAGTGGCCTGTGTGTCCCAGGGTGCCCCTGGGCCTTCTGGAATTCTCTGTCGGCCCTGGGATCCACACCCGCCCTCTCTGAACAGGGACCTCACGGAACCTGAGCTTCCCCACTGCCGTCCGCACGTCTGTGCCCCAGGCCCTGGTGAGAGCAGGTCCTGGGGAAGTGGCCAGCTCCCGGAGGTCGGGGCCCCCCGGGGACGTCCCCTTTTGGGCTCAGCCTCCCTCTCTGTGCCCGGCCCCTCTCCCTTCCTGCCCTTGCAGTCAGTCCCTTCCCAGACGAACTTGACCTCTGCCCCAGCCCCCGTCTCTCCAGCCTCCCCACTGGAGGCCCCTCCTTAAGCTACCCCCCCCCCCAGCCCACACTCTGGCTAATTGTGGCTAATTACGACCGAGATGATAATTATTCAGCCGGTAATCACAGCCCTGCCACCCCACCCCCGGCCCCATTTCCAGGCCCAAAGTCAGGTCATCAAGGTCAGGGCCTGTGTGGTCACCAGGAGCCTGGCCATGAGAATCCCCCATCCCAGGAACTCTGTGTGACCTGGGAAGGAGGGCCAACTGGTGTCCCTGGCTGCCGACCCTGGCTGGTGACCTTGGCTGGTGACCCTCTTGGCGACCACCCTGGTGACCCTGGCTGGTGACCCTCGCTGGAACCGTGGCCTGAGTTCAGGCTGCTTATGGGGGCTTCCTCCCCACGAAAGCCAGGAAGCTACCAGACCTCGGCCCCGAGGGAAGAATCTTCCCCACAAGTCCCCCTGTGCAGCCACCCTCAGCCCCCCACCCAGGCCGATGCTTCTGCTGTCGCTGTCCACCCACAGCCAGCCTCATCTATGCCCGGCCCCTCGGCGCCCAGGCCGGAGCCCCGTCTGCCCCATCCCTCACGGAGGGGCCAGCAGCCTTACCCAGGGCAGTGCACAGGGTGGTCAGGAGCAGCAGCACCAGCAGGGGCCTCATCATGGGACGTCCACCGGCAACTGGAGCCACCGGCACCAGGCTGCTTTTATACGGCTGGCCCGGCTGGGGTCGGACCTGGTAATTTAGCTGGGGGGTGGGCCAGGGCTGGCAGGGCCGGCCTGACTCACTCCACCCAGGCTCCCTCTCTCCACCCCCAGGGCCCTGGGCTCTCAAGGAGGTCCCCTGTGACTGCCACTTGTCCCTCGTCCTGAGCCTCCCCCACCTGCTGCAGTTACCAAGGCGTCCAGCTAGACCGGGGCTGGGGAGGGTGGTCTGCGGCGACTGCCCTTCCCGGGGCCTGAGGGGTCTGGCCGGGCACGTCCCCTTACCTGCACCCGCAGGTAGGCCGGGGGCGCTGAGCCCATGACAGGGGGAGACATGGCAGTGCAGGACGAAAGCAGGCACTGGCCACCTGCAGCCCTGCTCAAGTGCTGATCTGACCCCGAGCCCCAGGCAGGGCCGAGTCTGGGGCTGGCGGTGCTCCTGGTGTAGGGTAGGGCTGGCCCAGCTCACCCGGCTAGGAGGGGGGGCCGGGGCATGTCCCCAGGGACACAGGGACACAGGGCACCGAGTGTCTCCGGGGCACGGGAGCACGCCACGCCACCTCCGCCACTGCTGCCCAGGTCCTTGGGGTCTTGCTGAGGTCTGGGGCTGAGGGGGGGGAGCTCGAGTCTCAGCTTCTGTCCTCCGTCCCCCACGCAGGGCTCCCACGCTCAGGGTAACGCGACCGCCCAGGCCCCGGCCCCTGCAGCTTCGCCCGCAGCCCTGCTGCTCTCCCTTGCAATGGCCCCAGCCCCCTCAGACGCTGTGTGGCCACGCACTCCCCCTCCAGGCTCTGGCCGGGGCCTGGCCTTGTGTCCACAGCATCGTCCACCTTTCCCCCGGCCCACAGTCCGCCTTGTCTACGGCTCCCTTACACCCTGTCCAGTCTGTGCCCTGGAAGGGCCAACTCAGGGTGTGGGTCTCTTTCCAGAACCTTCTGGGACCACCCACCCTCAGAGGATGGAAGATGCTGGGAGCCAGCCCTAGGTGGAGGGCGGCAAGGGGGGTTGCTGGGGCTGGGGGTGGGCGGCGGTGGGGGGGGAGCGTGCTGGACCTGAATGCCCGCAGGCGTTGGTGGCTGGAGGCTGCCCTTGTGAACCTTGAGAACTCAAAGCTTCGGACTCCTGGGGTGTGGGCTCCCAGGTCCTCGGGCTGGTTTTAAGAGACCCCTGCCCCTTCCAGGAGCCCCCTGGAGGCTGCCTCCAAGGGCTGCAGCGCTGGAGCCCTGCTCAGTTCCCTGGAGAAAGCGCACCTCTGTGCACCTGTGCGGTGGGGCAGGTGCCGCCACGTGACTGAGTGCCCCAGCCACTCCGTGCCACCTCCGCCCCAGTGGTCTCCTGGCCGTGGGCATGTGGGAGGGAGCCCCAGTGGCAGCCAGCAGCCAGCACAGCCTGGAGCCATCCTGGGACAGGGCCTGGGTGTGGGGCACTTCCAGCCCTCATCCTATGCCCGAGGAAGTTGGAGGGGGCATTTGTGGCCTGGAAGGGTGTGGTGGAACCAAGACTGTATGGCGACCGGAGAGGGATCGGGGTGAGGCCCAGCGCGGCTTCCACTGCCTGGCGTACAGCTGTCCCGGAAGGGCTCTGCCTGGCTCCCTCAGGAGCAAGGGGCCCCTACAGGCTGCCCTGGCCATGGTGGGTGGCTTGTGACAAGCCCCTCGGCCCCCTGAACCCAGCCTGCTCCCCCTGCCCACATGCCAGCACCCAGGTAACCCGCAGGGCTCTTCCGGTGCAGGAGAGCACCCCCCAGCGCTCCGGCCAGAGAAGCGGCAGTGGCAGCGCCCAGGCCTGAGTCCCTTTGTCCTACAGACTGACTCAGGGCCAGGCTGGGCCCTTGCTGCTGGGGGCGCAGGCACGAGGGTGGGGCAGGTGGGGCAGGGCGCCCACGCCGACAGTGATGGGAGGGCAGCGGGCACTTCCGGGCAGTGCCCACTTCCTGGAGACGGCTGCGCAGGTGGGCTGCGTTTCCCAGGAGTGAGGAGGGCAGGGAGCTGGCAGGGGAGGAGGCAGTGTAAACAAAGCCAAGGGCATGCCAGGGCCTGAAGAATCCAGGGCGTGGCCCGAATCTACCTGGTGCTACCTGGTGAGGCCACAGCTCTCCCAGCTCAGGCTGGGCGGGCCTCTTCCTCTAGGGGGGAGGGGTCTCATGGGTTGGGATGTGAGGGGTGGGGGAGGAATGCAGCCAGAGCAGGCTGGGGGAGGGGCTGTGACCACCGCTCATTAGGCTAATCAGGCATCGGCACTCACTTTTACAAGCTGAATGTCCCCCAATTACAGCCCAGACTGTCTCCCGGGGCCATCATTAGTGCTGGAAGTGGCCCCACTCCCAGAGAGGCAGAGGGACCAGGACACCCGGTCCCGGGCATGAGGGGACAGGGGTGAGGTCCTGCAGGGTCAGCCCAGAGGAGCGCAGGAGAGACCTCTGTGACCCGGGGTTCACCAGGCTCGCTGCTGCCCACCTGTGCTGGCGCTGGCGCTGCAGCTGCCCCGGCCCAGGCGCACGAGATGTGGGCAGGCACAGGGCAGGGCACGGAGCCTCAGGCGTCCCGGGGGCCCTGCTCTCTGTGCGCCCACCTGGTGCTCCACGTGCACATCCGCCGGGTCCTCCCGGGGCCCCTGGCCGCCCGCGTCCATTCCGCCGCAGGTGGACCCCTCCGGACTGGCTTCCCACTGAGTCTGAGTGCGGGTTCTGGGGAGCAGCCAGGGTCTGAGTTCTGGGTTCTCCATGGCTGGCAGGCTGTGCGCCGAGCCCCACAGAGGACCCCCAGGGCCGGGCCTGGGCAGGAGCAGCTCTCTGGAGGGGTCAGCAGCCACAGGCCCTGGCTCAGGCCTGCCCCCTCCCCAAGCCCTCCCCGCCCCCTCCCTGGTCTCAGCTGTCGGGATGCTGCCCCCGCCCAGCAGCTGAGGCACGGCGCCTGGCCCCGGTCGGCCCTCCCCACCAAAGGACACAGGGAGCCTCACCTTCCCACCGCCTTTGCCACCATTTGAAAAAGGCACCGGCAAGAATCGCTCAGGACGGGGTTGCCTGCGGGCTGCTGCCCGGACGCTCACAGGGCCCCGTCTCCCAGGACGGGCGCAGGCAGGCTGCTCTGACCCACGCTTTCATTCCCCACCTGCTAAGTTGCGGGAGTTCCCCTCTCCACGTCCGTAAGGCCCCAGACCAGTGGCCGCTGCCTAGAAAGTGGTGAGGCCTGTGGACACCCTGCTTCTAAGGTGCTATAAACTGGGCGTGCTGCAGCCGGGACCAGCCGAAGCCCTCGCCGGCCCTCGCTTGGGTCGGGTACGTCCCTTAGCAAAGCGTTGTCGGGACCGTGCTTAACTATTTCCCGAGAGACCTTGTGAAGTAACTTAGCTTCTCCAGTGTTCAAAAAAAAAAAAAAAAAAACAAACAAACAAACAAAAAAAACAAAACAAAAACCCAATTTAATGTTCAAAGCTGCCTTTGAGTAACTGTGGGTTAAAATTCTGTAGTTTTTTTTTTTTAAGATTTATTTATTTATTTGAAAGTCAGAGTTATACAGAGAAGGAGAGGCAGAGAAAGAGAAAGAGAGAGAGAGAGAGAGTCTTCCATTGCTGGTTCACTCCCCTGATGGCCGCAACTGCACCAATCCGAAGCCAGGAGCCAGGAGCCAGGAGCTTCTTCCAGGTCTCCCACGTGGGTGCAGGGGCCCAAGCACTTGGGCCATCTTCCACTGCTCTCCCAGGCCACAGCAGAGAGCTGGGTCGGAAGTGGAGCAGCCAGGACTGGAACCAGCGCCCACACAGGATGCCGGCGCTGCAGGCTGGGGCTTAGTGTACTACGCCACAGCGTCGGCCTCTTTTTCTGTTATTTGTAATTGGCCTAGGTAACAAACTCATGCATTTGGGGGAAGTTCTGGGTCTTCAAGGAGTTAATTTAGACCTGGTTCACAGCTTTGGTGAAAATGCTTGGGTTACCGTTTACTTTGGCCAAATGGTTTAAACCACTGACGATTAATTATATTAAAGCGAAAATGGAGTCTCCGGCCTCGAGGCTTCCAGTTGGATCCCCGGTGACACTGGTGACTGAAGGGCCGGGCAGATCTCCGCGGGGATGCCCCGACAAGGAGCCAGCAAGGCCAGCCCACCCCACCAGCACTTGTCTCTGACGCAAAAAGCCAGGGCATCGAACAAACAGCTGCCCCGGCAGAGGCCGGCTTCCCAACACGGCCAAAAATCTGCCCCTGGACATGAGATGGCCCCGGGGGAGAGGGAGGGCCCTGGCTCAGGCTGGCACCGCCCTGGAGTCCCGGCCCAGGCTCCCGGTGGCGTCACAGGTAGGACTGCAGATTCCATGCCCTACTATCAGCAGCCAGGCAGGTGTTAGCCCAGGTGTGCGAGAGGGGCTGGGGAGAAATGGGGGTCTGTGTGGTCAGGTGGTCCAAGTCCTGCCCTTGTCCATGACCTTGCCAAAGGGCTCCCCTTGTTTCTCTAGGGCCATGCGCCCACTGGGTGTGCCAACAACCGCATGGTCAGTGGCCCAAGCATGGCTCAGACCCGCATGGACAGCGTCCTGCTGAGCTCCAGGGATGCCCGCCCTGGGAGAGGGGGACCGCTCCCCTACCCGCGCCCCCTCTCGGCAGGAAGCAGCCAGGGATAAGGGGTGCCAGGACCTCTCTCTCCCTCCTGCCCAGGGAAGCCCTGCACCTGCACATTCCAAACTGCTGGGACCACTGGCGCATCATCATGACCTTCCCCAAGGAGTCTTTCTGCGCCCCCCACCCTCCTTCTCAGGGTCCTGTGGTGCTCTGCCCCGCCCCCAACACGCCGCTTACAAAGAGGCTCTGCCTGCTGCTCAGACAGGGGTAGCCTGGTTTCAGACCCCTGCCCTCTGCCTGGGCGTGCTCGTCCCCCAGTCTCTGCCTCCCCATTCTGTCCCCACTAAAGTAGCTGCCTCCCCTTCCTCTTAGAACCCTAAAATCCTAGAACCTAACAGAGACCCCCTGCAGCACAGATTAGGGTTTACCTAACCCCAAGCCCAGCTCCCTAACCCTGTGCTGCTGCTGGGGCACTGAGCTCTGCT